AAAAAAAAAAAAAAAATGTCTAACAGAGTATGCCAGTACTATGGACAGAAAAAGATTTCAAGTCCCAGCTACTCACTAGTTGTGTGACTTCAGACAAGTTGCTCAAGATCAATTTGTTCATCAGTAAAACAGGATACTACTACTTGCCTTATCTGCTTCACTGGCTCATTAGGAGGCTTTACTTAATAGGGCAGCAAAGATCTTTAAGAGCTATAAAACTTTGTACAAGTTTAGTAGGGCTGTTAATGAATACAAATGGTGAGACAGAAAGAAAACTGGACTAGGGAGTCAGAAGTCCCTGGGTTGCTGGGCAAGTTGTATAGCTAACTGGCTGTACAACCCTAAGTTGGTCATTCTTTCCTCTTTTCCCAGCTTAGACTCAACAATGATCTGGGCCCTATGCTCTAATAGTTTGTAAGTCCATGACAGGTTCTGGACCTCAGATGTCCTCAAAAACGTGATGGCTGGGACTCCCAGATACATCCACTAAGACAGGGAACTTCAAGGTCTTGGGGTCCCAAGTGAGAGTTGCTCACTGAAAGTTGCATGGGTTGCCATCTTTGTGTTTTGGGGGGAGAATGGCAGAATGACGGCAGCTTCCTTACAACTAAGAAAGAGGCAGAGAGCATGGCTGACAGGAAGTAATAAGGTTGGACCAATCATAGTGAAAAGCTGTAGCACCTGATACACCAGTATAATTAAAAGTGCCAAGACTGCCATCTTTTTGGCCCTGCATTGCCTTCTGCTTACCAGCGTCTGTAGGTCTGGTCCCTGCAGGCCCCCGCCCTATCTGTATCTGTATCTATGTATCTGTAAAGCTTTATTGAGATACAATGTACATACTATAAAATTCACTCTTTAAAAGTATGTAATACATTGGATTTTAGGGTATTCACGGAGATGTACAACCATCATCACTACCTAATCCCAGAACATCTCCACCTCAAAAAGTTGAACAGATCCATAACAACAGAAGAAAATGAATAGGTCATAAAAAAATTACCAACAAAAAACGTCCTGGCCAAGACAATTTCACCAGAGAATTCTGCCAAACATTCAGAGAAGAACTGACACCCATCCTATTCAAACTATTCCAAAAAAACATAGAAAAATGTGGAACCCTCCCTACTTCATTTTGTGAAGAAAGCATAACCTTGATGCCAAAGCCAGGCAAAGACATCACTCAAAAGGAAACTTTTGAGACCAATATCCCTCATGAATATAGATGGAAAAGTCTTCAACAAAATCCTAGACAATAGACTCCAACAACATATCAAGAAAATAATTCATTATGACCAAGTGGGGTTAACACCAGGTATGCAAGTATGGTTCAACATTAGAAAAACAATCAACGTCATCCACAACATAAATGAAACAAAGGAAAAGAACCACATGATCATATCAATCAATGCAGAAAAGACATTTGATAAAATCCAACACCCATTCCTGATAAAAAATTCTCAGCAAAATAGGAATAGAAGGGACATTCCTCAACAGGCACTTGACTGCTAACCAGAAGGCTGGCGGTTCAAACCCACCAGCCACTCCTCAGAAGGAAGGTTGGGCAATCTACTTCCATAGTGATACTGCCTCGGCAACCCAAGGAGGGGTCGCTATGAGTCAGGGCTGACTCGACGGCACATAACAACAATAACAACAACATGCAAAACTAACAGCCAACATTATTCTCAATGGAGAGAGACTGAAACTATTCCCCTTTTGAACAGGAACCAGACAAGGATGCTCTCTATCACCACTTCTATTCAACATTGTATTGGAAGTCCTAGCAGGGCAATAGGCAAGAAAGGAAAATCAGAGGCATCCAAATTGGTAAGGAAGAAGTCAAACTATCCCTATTTGCTGATGATATGACTCTATACCTAGAAAACCCAAGAGATTCAAAACTCTACTGGAACTAATTGAGAGATTTAGCATTATGGCAGGATACAAGATCAACATCCAAAAATCAGTTGGATTCCTCCATACCAGCAAAGAGATTGCTGAAAAAGAAATAAGGAAATTAATACCATTTACAGTAGCTACCAAAAAAATAAAATACTTGAGAATAAATCTCACTAAGGACACAAAAGACCTATACAAAGAAAACTGCAAAACAGCATTTCAAGAAACCTTAAGAGATCTACGTAAATGGAAAAACATACCATGCTCATGGATAGGAAGATTGAACATTGTGAAAATGTCAATTCTACCCAAAGCAATCTAGACATTCAATGCAATACCAATCTGGATCCCAGCAACATTCTTTCAGGATATGGAAAAACAAACCACTGATTTTATGTGGAAAGGAAAGAGACCTTGGATAAGCAAAGCAATATTGAAGAAGAACAGAAAAGTAGGAGGTCTCACACTGCTGGATCTCAAAACCTACTGTTTAGCCACAGTAGTCAAAACAGCCTGGTATTGGTACAACAACAGACTTATAGACCAGTAGAACAGAATTGAGAACCCAGAAGTAGATCCGTCAGCCTATGGTGAGCTGATTTTTGATAAAGGGCTGAAATCCACTACATGGGGGAAGAGATTGTCTGTTTAACAAGTGGTGTAGGCAAAACTGGATATCCATTTGCAGAAAAATGAAACAAAATCTATACCTTACACCATACATAGGAACTAACTCCAGATGGATCAAAGACGTCAATGTGAAGCCTAAAACTATAAAGTTCCTCAAGGAAAAACTAGGGGCAAATTTAGGGGCCCTCATTTATGGCATAAATAGACTATCAGCCATAACCCAAAATGCACAAAGAGCAGAAGATAAACTATATTAATGGGACCTTCTAAAAACTAAATTTTTATGAGCTTCAAAAGACTTCTCTAAAAGAGTAAAAAGAGAACCTATAGATTGGGAAAAAATATTCAGCAATGACATATCTGACAAAGGACTTATCTCTAACATTCACAGAAAACTCCAATACCTCAATAATAAAAAGACAAATAATCCAATTAAAAAATGGACAGAAGACATGAATAGACACTTCAATGAAGAGAATATTCAGACAGCCAAACACATGAAGAAATGTTCACGATCATCAGCCATTAGAGAGATGCAAATCAAAACAAGATAACATCTCACCCCAGCACTAATGGCAAAGTTCAACAAGGCAGAAAATAACAAATGCTGGTGAGAATGTGGAGAGATTGAGACTCTCATATGCTGCTGGTGGGACTGTCAAATGATACAAACACTGTGGAAAGGAGTGTGGCAATTCCTTAAAAAGTTGGAATTAGAAATACCATTTGATCCAGCAATCCCATTACTAGGTATATATCCTGAAGAAGTGAGAGCCAGGACAAGAACAGATATGTGCACACCTGTGTTCATGCAGCACTATTTACAATAGCAAAAAGATGGAAACAACCTTGGGGGCCATCAACAGAAGAATGGATAACCAAACTATGGTACATAAACACAATGGAATATTATGCAACACTAAAGAATAATATTGAATCTTCAAAACACCACATAACACGGATGAACGTGGAAGACACTATGCTGAGTGAAATAAGTCAATCACAGAAGGACAAATATTGTATTAGTTCATTATTGTAAAAAGTCAAGGAAAAGTTTATTTATGGAAAGAAACTTTCTTTGTTGATTACCAGGGAGTAGAAGCAGAGGGGAGGGAACACTGCTAAAATAAAAAAATTCAATTTCTGATTCTTCATTCCCAACATAAAACCAGTCTTTTTTTGTTCATATGATCTTGTATTCTGTTACCTAATAAAAATGCTTGTAAGTTCTGAAAAAAAATAATAATAATACTTAAGATTTATTAATTCTTTCCTGGTCCCTGGAGAAGGATCTCAGGCTTGGTAAAGTGGAATGTCAGAGAAAAAGGGGACGACCCTCAAGGAGATGGCTTGACACAGTGATCACAACATTAGGCCCAAGCATAGCAAGAATGGTACATCAACTCGATGGCACCTAACCACAACATTTGGCAGGCTCTGTTCTAAGTGATTTTGATGTGGGCTATCATTAAATCTTCACAGTACCCTTTTCAGATAAATACTTTTTACCAGTAAGGTGTCTGAGTTTCTGTGAGGTTAAATAAGTCACACACAGTAAGTTCTCACCTCCACATGTGATCGTAGCAGAAAACACAGATTGCCGTGGAGTCATTTATAAGTATATATAGAATACGATAGTACTATGGATTTGCATCCTTTACTTTGATTTTGTTTTATTGTGTGATATAAATAAAAATTTTCTGTAAAATTCTCTTTCAGAGCCTCCAGGAAAAGAGTCTTTTTGGAAAATCAGAATTAGAACAAACTATTGAACATTTGACATGTGTTAATCATCAGGTAATTTATCAAACTGGATTTGGGTTATATTGTGCTGTTTGAATGATTTTCAGTTATACTGTATTATACTTTCAATTAATATACTACATATTTTTAAAATTATGAAATAGTATGCTTAGGGAAGCTGTGTTGGTTAGGAGCGTGTATTGTGAAGATTGCCTGCTTGGGTTCACATCACAGCTCTGCTACCTGCTGCCTATAGGGAAATTACTTACCCTTTCTGCCCCTCAGTTTCTTTATTTATAAAAGAGATCATTCTAGTACTTACTTCTTCAGGCTGTTGTGAAGATTAAATTTGTTAATACACATAAAAATCTTAAAAGAGTGCCTGGCATATTGGAAGCACTCAGTAGATGTTAGCTATTATTATTGTTGTTCTTGCTGTTTGAAAAAGACATAGAGTGAAAAATGAAAGTCCATTTTCAATCCAAACTACTTGGCTTAGAGATGGCATTTTAATCAATTTGGTATGTGTTCAGCTAGTGCTTTACATAGCACATACACATTCTGTACATACAGAAGTGTTTATTTCTTTTTAACAGAAATAGTCATGTCATATTATCACTTTTTTCCATAGTACACTGTGGAGATCATTCCATCTCAGTACATAAATTGCTGCCTTAGTCTTTTTAAAGACTGTATACTGGTTATATTTCAGTTTGGCTTCCCCCTAAAGACAGAACCTCAGACGAGGATGTGTGGGTGCAAGTAGTTTGTCTGGCAAGTAATCCCAGGAATTAAAAGGAAAGGAAGGAGCTGAGTGAGTGAGACAGGAAAAGAGAAAAAGCCAATAAAGAGTATTTTATGGAACTGGTTGCTGCTGTGGGCCACTGAATCTCCCTTCCTCTGGGACCCCTCTGAGGGAGTGTGTAGAATGTACCTCTGAACAAAGGATGGGAGGCTGGAGCATTTATCTACCTACTCCTGTTTTTCAAAATTAACAATTATTCTAGACCTGTTAACTCCCCAGATTCCTGGCTGACTGTCTTTAGACTAAGCAAGCTCCTCCTTTGGAAAAAGGCCTGAGACAGAAAATCAGAATCAACAACAATCATGGCAGTGGGATTTGGCCAGTACACTTGGGGCAAAGAAGATGGGGCTCTAGACATGTGAATTATCTGCCACAGGTTGTTTGAAGTTTTTTTGTTCTTGCAAACAACATTGCAGTGAAAAGCGTGTGCACGTGTGCCTGATGCTTATTGACATGCGTGATGCTTCCTGGGATTTTGGTTAAGCAAAGAGGAACAAATAGTTGAAAAAATTGTGGCAAAATTTGATAATTGTTGAACCTGGGGATGTCTAAATGAAGTTTTGTTGACATATTTATTGTCTGTTTTAGAAAATTTTATCTGACTTTAACATTACATTATACATAAAACCAAAAAAACCAAACTCACTGCCGTTGAGTCAGATCCGACTCATAGTGACCCCTCCTTGGGTTTCCGAAGCGGTATCACTACGGAAGTAGATTGCCCGGCCTTCTTCCGAGGAGGGGCTGGTGGGTTTGAACTACCAGCCTTCTGGTTAGCAGTCAAATAAATGTCTTATGCACTAGGCCATCAGAGCTCCTACATTATACATAAGGAAGAAATAATTTTGCCTTATTTTTTGAAAGATACTTTTTCTGGGTAAATTCTTAGAATTCTAGGTTGATGTCTTTCCCTTTCAAAATGTTAAACATTTTTTACTCCACTGCCTTCTGCCTTGTGTTATTTCCAACGAGAAATCTGTTGCCATTCTTCTCTTTGTTCTTCTGTAGAAAATGTATTTTTTCCTTTAATTGCTTTTAACTGTTTCTCTTTTTATTGCTTCTGATGTGCCTATTTCATTCATGTTTTCTTATACTTGGGATTCATATAGCTTCTTGGATCTGTAGGTTTATAATATTCATGAAATTTAGAACCATTTCAGCCATTATGTCTTCAAATATTTTTACTGTTTTCTTCCTCCACTCCATTTAGGACTCAAATTAAAAACTTATCAAACTTCTTGAGATAGTCCCACAGCTCACTGATGCTCTACTCAGGGGGTTTTTTTGTTTGTTTTTCCCTAAGTTTTCTCTCTCATTCTGTTCCATGTTGACTAGTGTCTATTATAGTGTCTTCAGGTGTACTAGGTTTTCTCTTTTACAGTATTTAATCTGCTGTTTATTCCATCTAGTATATATTTTTTTATTTCAGACATTGTAGATTTAATCTCTACAAGTTGGCTTTCAGGTTTATTATTTTTTTAAATCCTTGCTGTCTCTACATGTTCAGTATTTCTGTGGTTTCTTGAACATATGAAAAACAGTTTTAATAACTTTTGGGAGCTCTGGTGGTGTAGTGCTTAAGGCGTTTGACTGCTTTATTTGTCTACTAATTCTATCATCTATGTCATTTCTGAGTTGATTGATATTTCTCCTCATTATGGGCCATATTATTTTTTGCATGCCTACTAATTTTAGATGAGGTACTAGACCTTAGGATTACTTATCTTCTTACCTGTTGTTCTGAGATGCAGTCAAGTCATAGAAGTAGTTTGATCCTTTCCAGTTTTGCTTTTAATTTTTGTTAGGTGGGAACACAGTAGCAGTAAGTCATGGGTTTATTTTGTTCTACTACTGTGGTGGTTAAGTTTGTGTGTCAACTTGGCTAGGCCTGGTTGAGTTGCTGGGCAGCTAGTGGTAGTTATTCCCCGTGGTGAGACTGGCAGTCAGCTCCATGGTGGGACCTACCACAAGCAGCTGAGTAGCTGCTTTAGGGATGTGGTCTGCTTCCCATATATAAGAAACAGCTTTGGGAATGGTCTCTAGCTTATGGCATGCTTGAACCCTGCATGAAGCCATGTTGTTGTTCAGCAGCCTGCCATGCTCTGCTGACCTTGGTACTTTCAGTGGATTTAAATTAGTGGCCTGCCATGTGATTTGGTAACATTGGAACTGTGCCATTTTATTTGTCAACCTTGGGCTTGTTAACCTCAGCAGCCAGTAGCTGCCTGAGTGAAGAGATGCCTCTATCTTCAGTGGGCCAGGAACAAGAGACAGAGTTGAAGCCCAAGGTCGAGGGGCTTTCACTCAGCCCCTAAAGCCTGGCACTTTGAGCTCGGACTTAAAACCCTCCAAAACTTTAAAAGAATAAACTCCTGTTTGTTAAAGCCATCCCATGTATGGTATTTTCTGTTAGGGCAGTACTAGGTAACCATAACACTATATGGTACCAAGAGGGTGGGTTACTGCTCTGACAGATACCTAACATGTGGAAACAGGAGTAGAGTGTGTCCTTGACCCAAGACCCCGGCAGAGAGACCCTGGTATGCGACATGAGACACGACAGCACCAGAGCCAAGAGATCAGCGTAAGAGACAGCAGGAGCAGAGCCGAGAGACCAGCATGAAGGACGGCAGTATCAGAGCCCAGAGACAGGCGTTAAACAGCAACAGGCTTACTGGCCATGGAGGAGAAAGCTGGGTGCCATTGGGTAGGCAACTTCCTGGTGGAGTGGGTTGCTTTCAGGCATTAATTGGTAGAAGAGACTGGCATGAGATAGAGTAGCAGGTTGGCCAGCCCAGGGAGCAAGAAAGCTGTGTCCTTTGGACAGGAAGATTTCCGGCAGAGTGGGTTGCCCTTGGGCATTAATTGGCAGAAGCGGAGAGACCAAGGAAACAGGAAGCAGAGCTGCCTCAGCTTCAAGGGTAGGACCATGGCCTTTGGGGGTGGAACCACCACAGCCCCCAAGATTTCAAAGAGCTGGACCTTCACCAACTTGGTTCTGGAGTGTGAGGCTACTTGTTCATGTCAGCTAGTGGGATGGAGTCAAGCTGCTGCCCAAGAGTGTGGGGGCAGGGCTGCCGTGCCCAATGGGAAGAGGAACGGGGCCTGCCAGGCCAAAGCAGTGGGGTCGCCACTCAGGAACTAGGGAACTGGAGTCACCCAGTAAAGGGTATCTGTACAGATACCACCCCTTGAAGATCTGTACAGGTGCCAAGTTGACATAGGTGGAATTGTAGTGGTTATGTTTGTGTGTCAACTTGGCTGGACCTGGTTGAATGACTGGGGAGCTGATGGTAGTTATTCCCCATGATGAGACTGGCAGTCAGCTCCATGGTGGGATCCACCACAAGCAGCTGAATAGCTGCTTTAGGGGTGTGGTCTGCTTCCCATATATAAGAAACAGCATTGGAATGGTCTCTAGCTAATGGCACACTTGAACCCTGCAGGTAGCCTTGTCGTTGTTCAGCAGCCTGCCATGCTCTGCCAACCTTGGGACTTTCAGTGGACTTGAATGAATGGCCTGCCATGTGGTTTGGTAACATCGGGACTGTGCCACTTTATTTGTCGACCTTGGGCTTGTTAGCCTCAGCAGCCAGTAGCTGCCTGAGTGAAGAGATGCCTCTAGCTTCAGTGGGCCGGGGGCAAGAGGCAGAGTTGAAGCCCAAGGTCGAGGGGCTTTCACTCAACCCCTAGAGCCTGGCACTTTGAACTCGGACTTAAAGCCTCCAAAACTGTAAGAGAATAAACTCCTGTTTGTTAAAGCCATCCCATTTGTGGTATTTTCTGTTAGAGTGGTACTAGGTAACCAGAACAACTACTGAGACAAAATCCTTTTTAGTATGCAACCTTGTGCCCCGTGAAATTATGGTGGCTTCCTCTCACTAGTGGTAACAGGACCTTCCCATAGCCTTTGGTAGTTTCTTCTTTATAGAGCTCTACTCAACCAGAGATTCAAAGGGGACTGACTTTCTTCTGATCTCTTGAACTATCGTTTAAAAATCTTCCCACAAAGAGAATACCAGGCCCAGATTTGTGGTAGATTCTACCAACATTGAAAGGGCATATTACAATCTTACAGCAAACTGTTGCAGGTTTAAAAAAAAAAAAAAAAAAAGTTCCAGGGAATACTTTCAATTTATTTTATGAGGGCAATGTTATTTTAATAAAAACACTAGTCAAGGATAACATAAGAGTACAGGCCAGTTAATGTCATTATTTATAAATAATGGTAAGCAGTGAATTAGCAGACCAAACCAAATTCAGCGATAAGTAAAGAAGATCAAACATTGTGATCAAACTGAGCTTGTCCCAGAATACAAGTTTGATTTCACCTCAGAAATCATACATTTTCATTTAAGATGAAAAGCATATATTCATTTCAGTGAATGGAGAAAAAGCTTTCTTTATTCAACATTCAATCATGACTTTAAAAAATGCTGTTGGTTGTCATCAAGTCAATTCTGACTCATAGCAAGCTCATGTGACAAAGTGGAACTGCCCTGTAGGATTTTCTTGGCTATAATCTTTCCAGAAGCAGATCACCAGATCTTACACCCACGGACAGAGCCACTGGATGGATTTAAACCACTACCTTTTCATTAGCAGCTGAACACTTAGCACTTAACCATTGCACCACCAAGACTCCTTTTGAAAAAGATACTCTTAGCAAATTAGGAAAGATAAAGAACTTCTTAACCTGACAAACCCTGGAACAAACATTGTGCTTAATGATAAAGCATTGAAAGTATTCCTTTTAAAATCCACAGCAAGACAAGGGTACCAGTTATCACCACTTTTATTCAATATAATATAGGAGATCATAGCTGAGGGGAGAAATTAGATGGATTAGAAAGGAAAAAACTACATAACACACAGTATTTTTATCCATATGGAAAATTTAAAAGTCAGCAAATTATTAGAATTAATTAGACCATTTGCCAGAGCTGCTTGATGCAAAATCAGCATGCAACAGTCCATTTTATTTCTACATGCTAGTGCTGTGAATTCGAAATACAATGTGAGCTACATATGAAATTTTTAATTTTTGGTAGCTTTAAAAAGCAAAAAGAAACAGGATTTAAACCCAAAATATTTCAATGTCTAATCGATATACAAAATTAAGATTATATTCCTTTTTTTTTGGAGTAAGTCTTTGGTGTATATTTTCTACTTCACAGCTCAATTTGTACTAACTACAGTTCAATTTTTAGTAGCTACTTGTGGCTTTGTTACTGTATGAGACAGGACAGCTATGTCCAATAAACAAACATTTTGAAAGGATGCCATTAAAAAAAAAAAGATATTATTTTAATAGTGGTAGACAATACGTCTATGAATAAATCTTCATGACCTTTTAAGAAAACATTTTATAACCTTTTTGAAAAAATTAAGACCTAAATAAATAGAGATGATTTAAAGAAAAAAAAAAAAGAGCATGTTTATAAAAAAGAATGTAAATTCTTCTCAAATTGATGCATAAAGTTGATGCAATTCCAGCTGAAATCCAAGAAGGTGGTATGGGTATGTGTGCTTAGTGTTACTTTATTGATTTAAATAGTGTCTTTCCTTGAATATACCTTTTTTTCCCCTGAACACCACCTTCCTGACCTTTCCCTCTTCCTACTTCATTGTGAACTTAATGTCTCTCTCTAACTTTTGTCCTAAGACTTTCCCTTTCCCCTTCTGTGTTGAATCCCACACTTCTTTCTTGGTTTGCGCCTTTATTCTACTACAGTAGTTTCCTAACTACAGGAGAGAATTTTTTTTTTTTTTTCATATTCTACATCTCTGGAAATGTTTATTCCATTTTCATACTTGGTTTATGATTTGCCTAGGTATATGGAAATCTAGATGGGAAAATTATTTTTCTTAAAATTTTTTAATACTATCCTCCATTATCTTTTTCTTGGTTCTGATGAGATGTCTGATGCTATTCTGTTTCAGTCTTTGTTGTTTCTTGGTTAGTTTGTTCTCCGATTTTCCTGTATTTTCTCTTTCACTAGTTGATTTTAGGCCTCCTAAAGATTTTAGGCCTTTGGAGCTCTGGTAGCATCATGCCTAAGGCACTTGGCTGCTAACTAGAAGGCTGGCGGTTCAAACCCACCAGCCACTCCTCAGAAGGAAGGTTGGGCAATCTACTTCTGTAGTGATACTGCCTCAGAAACCCAAGGAGGGGTCGCTATGAGTTGGGTCTGACTCGATGGCACATAACAACAACAAAGAAATGTCTTTAAGGTTTTACCTTTCTCCCTTATTTTCTCTCTTTGTTTTCTTTTTTTCTGGGAGATTTCCTCAACTCTCTCTCTTAACACTTCTATTTTTTGTTTTTTTAGTGTTGGTTATATTTCTTATTTCTAAGGGTATTATTCTAAATAGAGGTAGGAAATATCTGAGTTTCAAAGGTCCCGCTATGCAGATTTTCAGCCAGTTTCCTTGACTGCTCCTGACCCCTATCCTCATGCCTCCAAATGTTAAGCCTTTCCTGGGGGAAAAAAAAGTTGGCTGCATATTGGTATTCCATACAGTAGTCATTTTAGATGAGTGGTTCTCAACTGATCCAGTCCTGCACAGTCATAAAATACCCAGCTGTTAACTGAAAGGTTGGCAGTTCAAACCCACTAGCTGCTCTGTGGGAGAAAAAGATGTGCCAGTCTGCTTCTGTAAAGATTATAGCCTTGGATACCCTATGGAGCAATTCTACTCTCTCCTATAGGGTCACTGTGAAGTAGAATCTATTCAACGGCAGTTGGTTTGGGTTTTCTAGGGACATTTGGCATTATCTGGATACATTTTTGGTTCTCACATCCAAGGGGTAGGTGAGAGGATTATGTCTTTAAGTTCTTATAGCCCAAAATGTCAGTAGTTGCTAAATTGAGACTGTAGACTGTAAATTTTTCCTCTTTGAGTCACTATTCTTTCTGATCCTTGTTTTCCACAAGTTAGTGAAGTCATTGTCTACTCTTGTTTTCTTTCTTGTTCTCTATGTCTATATGAGTTACACCTTTTCTATTTCTTTACTACCATTTTAGTGGCCCTTCCAGAGGGAGAGGCGATAATACACGTCTGATCAGTAGACACTTTTGACTAAAAGACGTATTTATTACTAATCTTTCTTGGTTTTGAGATTTACTTATAGGTCATTTGATCTAGAATTTATTTTTTGTATATGAAATAAAATAAAGCTAATTTTTATCCTCCAATAAATGACAGTTGTCTGTGCCCTATTTTTTAAGGGTTTATATCCTTTTCCTAATCCTAAAACGCAACATTTTGTAAGTTTATACCTGGACATAGTGTTTTTACTCTATTCAGTTTCTTATATTTCCTTGTCCGTTTCTATGTGAAATCCACATTGTTTTAATTACACAGCTTTCTAGTTTGTTTTGGTATCTTGTGAGGCAAATTTACCTGCATTCTTTTTCTACCCAAGTATTTTCTCGTTTCCTTTCATCCTAAATGAAGTTTAGAAACGGTTTATAAAATGGAAGCCACTCACTCCTTTTTTAAAAAAGTTCTATTAGGATTTTTATTGAATTTGCAATTACTTGGTGGAAGATTTGGTGTATTTATAATGTTGTGTTCCCAACTAAGAACATGAGGTGTCTTTACAATAAGTCAGGTTATCTTTTATGCACTTCAGGAAATTTTTTTTATGTAGTTCTTAGCTATTTTAAGGAGCTCTGGTGGCTCAGGGCTTAAGCCATTTGACTGCTAACCAGAAGGTTGGTGGTTCAAACCCACCAGCTGCTCTATGGAAGGAAGACGGGGCAATCTACTTCCATAAAGATTTACCACCTCAGAAACCTAGTGAGGGTCACTATGAGCCAAGATCAACTCAATGGCATTGAGTTTGGTTTTTTGGTTACCTGTTTTATGTTTGGGTTATGGTCTTTTCTGCTCTGTTCTTTCCATCAATTCAGTTCTATCTTGGTCTTTCTGTTTTGTCAAAATTTTTGGTTTCCTAATGGCTCCCTTGGGGGAGCTCTGGTAGCATAGTGGCTAAGACACTTGCCTGCTAACCAGACGGCTGGCGGTTCAAACCCACCAGCCACTCCTCGGAAGGAAGGTTGGGCAATCCTACTTCCGTAGTGATACTGCCTCGGAAACCCAAGGAGGGGTCGCTATGAGTCGGGGCCGACTCGACGGCAAACAACAACAACAACAATGGCTCCCTTAAAGGAGCTCTGGTGGTGTAGTGGTTAAGGCATTTGGCTGCTAACCAAAGGGCTGGTGTCAAACCCACCAGCCACTACACAGAAGAAAGACGGGCCAAGCTGCTTCCTTTAAGATTTTCAGCCTTGGAAACCCAGTGGGGTTGCTATGAGTCAGAATTGATGAGATGGCAATGAGTTCTGTTTTGTTTTGTTTTGGGAATGGCTTCCTTACCTATTTGCATTGCTGTTAGGGGTATAGAATATATAGCTATATATATATATGGATATAGTTTCTATTTTTTCTTTTTTTTTCATAGTTAACTATTTCAGGTGAAAGTTTACACAGAAAATTAGAATTCTCATTTAACAATTTTTATACAAGTTATTCTGTGACATTGTTTACAATTTTCACAGTGTGTCAGCCTTAGTTTTTCCTTTATGTTTGTTTTGTTTCCATTGATCTAGCTTCCCTTCCCCTCTTTGGTTTCTCATCTTTGCTTTTGGGTAAATGTTGACCATTTGATCTCATATAGTTGAATGTTTAAGGGACACAACACTCATGAGTAATGTTTAGTTTATCAGCCACTCTATTATTTGGCTGAAAGTTGACTCCCAGGAGTAACCAATGCCAAATTCAAAGGGTCTCTTAGAATGATAGTCTTGGAGGTTCCTTTAGTGTCTATTGGTTGAGTAAGACTGACCTTTTTTAAGAATTGAGTTTTGTTCTACATTTTTCTTTCATTCTAACAAGGACCTTCTGTCATGTCCCTGGTCAAATCAGTCAATAGTGGTAGCCAGACATCATCTGGTATAAGGCTTAGAAGAGGCTGGATATATCTTTTATATTTTTTCTTTTATTTAAATGATATTGTGAGGGGGAAACATAAATGTGTATGAACATTCTGAGATCTAGAACCTAAAGTGTATCATGATTTTTAAAATATTTTTAAATAACGAATTTATTTATTATTAAAGAGTGCCTAAGAGATATATATATACCTATTAATTTTTTTTTACTTTAAATTATAGCTTGAAAATGAACAGTGTGAATTAAAATCTAAAGTGTTAATAATGAACGAAACAATAGAGTCATTAGAGAACAAATTAAAACTCCAAGCTCAGAAACTTAGTTATGTGGCTGGTGACTCATCTCATCAGAAAACAGAGATGAACTCACTTAGGTAAGTTTGCTGAAAGTTTTATTATTTCACTTCTGGGAACATGTTTGTCATTATGTGAGGTTCATATCTGTGGCATTTCAGATTGGGTCTTTGAGCAGTACTTTGCAAAGCTGGCCTTAAGTAGAATCACCTGGGAAGTTTTGAAAAGTATGGATTTAGAGGCTGATCTCTGAAGGTCCTGATTTATTATGTGAATCTAGGTGGATTTTGAGTATCTAAATATTTTTTAAATGTTCATAGATTAATATGATGGCAGAAGTTTGGGTATCTACCTCCTTCAGAAATCCCTGTTAAGAGATACTTCAGATCATTTGTACTTCATAGTGTAAGCTTGCTGAAAATCACGGAATGTTTTGTTACCTATGTCATTTCCCTTCTTTTACATCTTTCAATGAAATGTAAATTCAGCATATTCATCCGTTTTTCTTTTATAACTTTTCTGACTTAACAGACATCCTCTGTCCCTTACCTTTGTCTCTGGGTGAATTTCAGAGATATTTTTTTTCTATTTTCTGCTGCTTCTCTTTTATCCTGGTTTCTTCCTTCTCCTTTGTTATTAAAAGGGTATTTCTATTTGGTATTGTAGTGCAGATGCTATTGCTTTCTTATATTCCCAGATGATTCTTTTGATAATTTGAAGATAAATACAGAGGAATGTTGGAGTAATGGTTTTTACAGACACAACAACTTAACTATGGAAACCTTTTGATTGGGTGCTACAAGTAGATACACTCTTTCTCTTCTTGTGTTGGTCACACAGAATTTACTTTTGTTTCAAACACAAATAACCGAGCTCCAGGATTACAGGTGAGGAGAGACAACTCAGGGATGCCCAAAGTAGCAGGCGGGAAGAGCAGGAGAAAGGGGATTAAAAGCCAGGAAGCCAGAGAGAAGAGCAATCAGTCGAAGGGATTAGGTGAGGAGAGGAACCGCAGACCCGCCCAGAGTAGCAGGCCGGAGGAGCAGGAGAAAGGGGATAAAAGCCAGGAACTCGGACAGTAGAGCAGT